GGCGAAAACCAGCGCTGGCGAAACCAGCGCCGGCGAAACCAGCCATCGGCGAAACCAGCCGTCGTCGAAACCAGCGCCGGCGAAACCAGCGCCAGCGAAACCAGCCGCCGGCGAAACCAGCGGGGCGAAACCAGCGGGGCGAAACCAGCGCTGGCGAAACCAGCGCCGGCGAAACCAGCCGTCGGCGAAACCAGCCGTCGGCGAAACCAGCGTCGGCGAAACCAGCCGTCGGCGAAACCAGCGCCGGCGAAACCAGCGCCAGCGAAACCAACTCATGCCCAGCCGTGCTGCATCGGATTTTTGCGTGGATTTCTGTCAATGCAAATACCCCGAGACGGCGAGCGAAAAACGACGTGAATGTCACGTGGAATGTTTGTAGTCTTCGTTCCTGACCAGAAAAAATCCGCAATGTACTTCGAAATCCAGAACGGAATTATCCAGGACAATCGGGGCCCATCCCATTGCTTTCCGAACGAAATCCGGTCTGCGATGTTGGCGCCATGACGTGTCGCATCCTGCGTCACATCAGGCGGGCTATCTTGCAACAGTGGAGACCCCTTACAGTCAACCCGTAGAAGAAGGATGCGCGGCCAGGATGCAAGGAGCCTTGGACGCCCAGGCCGAGGCTCTTCGAGCGGAGGCAGGATGCAAGGGTGACCTTGGGAAGTCGGCCATCCTTACTTTGCGGGCTGACTGCACGGCAGTGGCCGCTCAGGGAATGCGGCCGTCATCCCGACAGGCACACGGGAGTGACAAGCACGAAAGGCGGAGCGGGAGCGGGTGGCACCTCCCGAAAGAGCCTGAAACGGCCCAGCCTTCAGGAAGCAAGTGCGCACGAGGCTCGCATTCCTCGCCACACTGATCAGGGCCGTTCAGCAGACAGACTACGAGTGTAAGCATTTGATCAGAGAAGTGGCAGCCACGATGCCAGCGTTAAACTTCACGAAAGCAACGAAGGTATGATCGCCCAGCGCGGGGAATGGGCAGCTTGTGGGGAGGCGTAAGAGAAACTGACCGAAACGCTCGAGACAGCGCAGCGAATGTAAAAACGACGACGATGGCGAAGACGATGGCCATGTCACAACCACCAGCCCAACACATCCTTCCATGCCAGTACCCCGCTGGACAGCGACCGAAACATGACCATTTCCGAATCGAGATTACGCATGTGTGCCAAGACCGTGCAGCGGGTGCATCAACTCCGATTGTTGACAATACTGTGATGAAAACAGCAGCATGCGGAGGCTGCATCTCCGACGAAGCATCGATCGTTGATATGGTCCAGTAACGCGTGGGTCCACGTGACGTCTTTCGACTGCCGCAATAAACTTTAGCGCTAACGGTCCATCGTACAAAACAGGCACCTTGAATGCAGAACAGGGTTACTCTGAAAATGCCTACTACGCCAAACACATCGGGAATAAGGTAAGGAAGAATGCCACCGTAAACACAGGAGGTGTCGTACCCATGCGCGACCTGACTGTGAACACCACGGTGGTGATTGGTAGGATTGCCCTGGTTGATTTCCATTGCCATATGCGATTCGAGACCTGGCCATAATCCTCTGTAACCTCCTGACGGTGCTTGGGATTGCTGCGAACTGGCCCCTCCAATCACTACCGAAATGCTTGTATATCATAGTCTGCATCCTGCGCGCAAGTCCAGGGCTGCCTCGTGAAACGATAGAACGCGTGGCCATTGACGATACAGCGTAAATTGTGGGCGTGGAAGGTCGAATCCTTGACCTCGTCATCATGCGTATGCATCCCAGCCTCGATCAGCTGCTGCTGCTCCTGAAGCTTGAACGCGTTGACGTCAGTTTCCATGTTCGGTTCAAAACTGCCGGGAAATCCGTATTCGAATAGCCGAAGCCTCAGTATTGCATCGGGGCGCGGGAGAACTTCGCCCCGCCAACAGTGGACGCGGGTTACGTAGAATAGGGAAGGTCGTTTGCCATTGGGCAGCGTGGCGATCGATGGGCGCATTTGGCTCGTGTACTGTCGTTGCTTTGGTATACCGCTCTGACGGACGGAGAAAGAGAGAGAGCGGGAAGACGGAGAATCGGGCGATGAGAGGGGAACTGCAGCTGGGACTAATGAGAGGGGGAAGGCTGGAGGAGGGGGGGAGCGCCTCCTCTCCTCGCCATCCTCCGAATACGAGGACGGATATCGCCATAGTCCAAACGGAGGCGGAGGAGGAGGAGGAGGAGCAGGGGGAGGAGGAGCAGGAGGGTGGAGGCGGAGGAGGAGGAGGAGGAGTCGAGCGTGCCGAGAGGAGGAGGAGGAGGAGGAGGAGGAGGAGGAGGAGGAGGAGGAGGAGGAGGAGGACGAGGACGAGGAGGAGGAGGAGAAGGAGGAAGAGGATGAGTAGGAGGAGGAGGAGGCTTCTCGCCGTGGTCGGCCCCTGGGGGCCCCGAGCTTTTGAAGACCGCTGCGTGGGCCTCCTCGCTCCCGACGCCGTCGCGCCGCAAAATATACGCCCCGCCTGCGGACCCAGAACTCCGACGTCAAAAACCTCCTGTGTCGCGACGTCTTCGCCACGAGAGGGCCCTGAGATCCGACGTCGCGGAAAAGTTGGAGCATGGCCGGCAAAAGATCTCAACTGAAGCCACAGACCACATCTGTCTGCAACCATTCTTAGGCCGGATCGATCCTCGGAAGCGGCCAAGAGGGGCGTGTCCAAGAGGGGGGGGTGCAAATCATGACCGGCGGCATGTGCGCGGCCCAGCGGGGGGGGCCAGGGACGTAATGAAACAAGAAGAGGCACCATGAAATCTGGGGAAATATCATGGCCCCCGCCATGATATCCACCCCCCCTAGTCATCACCCCCCTCTTTTCCGCCCCCGAGATCCGTGACCCCAGGAGCCCAAGCCGGGCGAGAAGACGCCCGGCGTGGCAAGAAGTGCAGCGCCCAGATCTCAGGGGAGGTGGGGAGAGCCCTCCTCCCCCCAACGCGCAGGAGCAGGAGGGGGAGAAGGAGGAGGAGGAGGAGGAGGAGGAGGAGGAGGAGGAGGACGAGGAGGAGGAGGAGGAGGAGGAGGAGGAGGAGGAGGAACGTACGTCGCCTGAGGAGGCGGAGGAGGAGGAGGAGGAGGAGGAGGAGGAGGAGGAGGAGGAGGAGGAGGAGGAGGGAGGAGGAGGAGGACGCCTCCCCCCAGCGTGCTTGCTCCCACCCAGGCCTCGATGCCGGAGCGCCGCAGATCCCCCGACGACATGCGCCGCACCAGCGGCGCTCGGGGGGGGGAGGCCAGCTGCAGCGGCGC